ATGAGGGGTGATTCCATGATTAATTTCTTGTCCACGAATTTTGAATCCTTTCCAGTTCATTTCGACAAGGGTCTCTCCAGTTATTTGCCTGGGCGCGAACTTTTGAAGCCTCTTCGTTGGAGTTTATTCCAGCTGAAGGATAAAAAATATTTTATCATATTGGGATTCACAGATTGTCATTCTAAATGCTCTGTCATGCTTGGTACTTTTGATTTAGAGGATGGGTGTGATGTATCAAATGCTGCCAAGCTTTGTGAAATGGCTGCTGATTCCTATGATGATACCAAGCGTTTGAAGATGACCGAATACAGGCTTACGAACTTTGAAGTCCGTCTTACTCCTTTGACAGACAGAACTTTCACTCATTGCGTCGTAAAGTGTAAGTTGCTAGCTTCTAATTAGTCCATTACATGCTCACGTTGAACTTTTCTTGCTCATTTATAGCACGAGTTTTTTTCTACTCTAGGCTCTCGCTGTATGTTATCTAGAAATTCAATACTCCGTATAAACATATCATTATATACTGAATTAGTGCTTTTCGACTCTAGGCTACGTTATTAAATGCTGGTTATTGGATTTTTGAGAGCAAAGTCCCATGTGATCTAAGTTATCTCAAATTCCATGTTTGGATTTCAAATCCAAATTTTACTCAAACTCCATGTTTGGAAATCCTAAATATTTGTATTTGAATTTGGCTGAATTTCTCTAATTTGTGGTTAAGCTTAATTACAAATTCATATAGCTCTTTTTTGTGATTTGAAATCCAAAAACTCAAATGAAATCTTTGTTTCAAAGTGTGAAGTTTATTTTGAAATTGACAAAAAAGGAAAGTGTAAACATCATTACATTAAGAGCATCTCCAACCATGCTTGTTATATGGATTTGCTATTCTTACATTATAGCAAGTGAATAGTGATATAGCTAACACTTTCTCGTTTCATTCTCCAACCATAATTTGCTAGTTTATTTTTTAAGTGTTGACTTGCTTAAGTTTGAGGGACTTTTCATATTTAGTAAGTCAAGGTCATTTTTTGGCAAACTTGCTAAAATAAAGCACACCCTTTGGAGAAGAACAAAAGTGTTTATCTAGCTATATTATAACTTTTACCAAGCTAAAATGCTATGGTTGGAGATGCTCTAACACAATCAAAATTGGTTCAGTCAAGTTCATCGTATTTACACATCTTTGGCATGCAGTATTACAAAGCCATGGGTGCATGATAAAAGAAAGATGATTCGTTTTTATTTCTTGGTGTGGACATTGCTTCTTATTGATTGAAATAACTCGGAATAGTTGAATTATTGTTTTGTTTCAGGAATGAGCGTTTTAGGTGGGGAGATCATATCGAGCTGTGATTTATCGAAGGCCACTAGCTTCATCTGTAACATAGCTTGTGATCTAGTTTGGTTTAGGACCCAGTTTGTTTAACAAGAATGACGAGACATTTTAAGTGCTAAATTATGTTTGCTTTTATTAAGGCTATGCATACCAGTAAACTATGTTTGGCGTCTTTAAGGTTCTTGGTTCTACATACCCTCTTAAGACATCTTCTATTGATGTTTGCATCCATACCTTTAAACCATGTTTGTTGATTTGAAGGTTAAATTATGTTTGGTGTTTTTAAATGTTTTTTTTGGTGGGTAAATCATGTTTGCTGTTTATAAGGTGCTGGTTTATGTGTGCGATTATTAGACTTGACTTCTGAAAATTAGGGAAAGTATGTTTCCGGTTGTGTTTATAGGTACTGGATTAACATATTTGGATTAGAAAACAAATTATAGTTGGACACTCATTCTCCACTACATTGTTCTAAAACAAAGTTTATAAACAAGTTGCCGCAAATTCACCTAGTGTTATTTTAGTGCAAGTTCCAAATTGTAAATAAATCACTGGTGAGCATTATGAAGGCAACATTCTAATTCTTTATATGCTCCGGTATAAAAATCAGGCTTCATTCCTTGTGAAGACATCTTCAAATGTTGTTTGTATCCATACCTTTAAACCATATTTGCTGTCTTTAAGGTTAAATTACGTTTGCTGTTCTAAAATGTGCATTTTTTTTGGGGGGTGGGGGGTGGGGGGTGTGAATTATGTTTGCCGTTTATAAGGTCCAGGCTTATGTGTGTGATAAGACTCCTGAAAATTAGGAAAATTGTACTCCCCGGATGTGTTTAAAAGGGATGCCATCCATTCCACATCATTGCCACATCAGCTTCTTCTACTCATGGCATGGCAAGGCTAAAATGCCTTGCTTTGTGAGGCATGAGTGTGACACTCCATCCTTCTTTTTTTTATTTTTTTAAATAAATTTTTTTAAAATTTTTTATGAAAAAAATGTACAAGAAATTAGAATAATTTTTTAATAAAATAAATAATAAAAATATTTTTTTATGTTTAAAAAACATAAAAAATGTAAAAAAGTAATAAAAAATAATGACTTGCCATTGTTTGAAAAATGTCCAGTGCCAAAGGAAATTTACATCAACAATGACTAGCGATTGTGCATATTTAGTTTGAAAAATGTCCATTGCCAAAGGATATTTACATCAACAATGACTAGTAGATATTAAACAGTGGTATTGCATTGAGAAAATAAAAACAAATGTTACTACATTGGCAAAGTCATTATGTTTAAGTACTATTTAGATAAATTTCCCCAAATAATAATATATATTTCCTATTATCCCTCTGCAAGCTGAACAAAAGAGAGGAGGGACAGCTTGGAACACAAGTACTTCAAACAAAGTGGTTGGAAGCGATTTTGTCAAAAGATCAACTAGTTTCACAGAGTATAGAATATGATTTGTGGAGATTGTACTAGCTATAACTTCATCTCGAACAAAGTGACAATCACAACCACCATGTTTCATACAATTATGTAGATTAGAATAATTTGTGTCACAGATGGTAAATAAATAGTCACAATAACTTGTCAGTTTTGACGGAGGAATGCCAAGTGCATCTCTAATAAAGCGAGGCCACATGACCCCCGCTACCCCTGCGGCCATGGTACGATACTCGACTTCTGTGGAGGAACGGGAGACACGAGTTTGTTTTTTGTACACCAAGAGATAAGATTTGGAACAAGCATAATAAGGTAGCCAGTAGTTGAACGACGATCATATTTGTCGTTAGTCCAGTCTGAATCGGAGTAAACAACCGCACGTGTAATGATTCAAAAACTGGCTTCGTAGCTAGCCGTTATTTTAATATAAATAAATATAATATTTATTTACTAAAAAATATGAAGTATTTGTAAAGTTGAACTTTTTATTTAAAAATTACATTTTTGGACAGAACTCGTAAAATGGTGACCAACGATATATAATTTATTAAGTGTGCGCGGCTTTTGTATAAAGCGTAATGAATAAAATAGACATTACAGTTCAATAAATAAATATAAATATTTTTATAATAATATAATAATAACAAATTAATAAACTTCCTAAATCCACCTAACATCCATACCAATCAAGCCCCCTTATTAACAAATATATACTTCCTCCGTCCATAAATAAACTTTCCATTGTGCGCTATGATGTTTGACTGAAGTTATTTTTAAATCATTTTATATGAAAAATGGTGTGAAATTTTAAAATAAAAATTACATATTAAAAAATTATATCAAAAGATCTACAAAACTAGATGTGACATGACTATATTATTTTCGCAAATGGGGAACAAAAATAGGCCAACAAAGTTAATAAAGTTTGACCCTGTAAATAGTGAACGAGAAGGTTATTCGTGGACGGAGAAAATATATATATACACGCATGTCCAAGAGAAAAAAGGTAGCTGCACATAATCGTACGAAAAAATAGACAAAAGTTGTGCGCAGAACAGGGTGGAAATGTGATTAGTTCGGCGCGAAGGAAGACTCGCTCCCGCCGTGCCACCACTGCCTGGGTCACCGGGAACAGCCAATTGACCATTATGTTCATTGTTTGACCCATTTGATTCGTTTAATTTGTCTAATAATATAGGTGAGTACGTGGAGATGTAACACTAGATTATTCGTATAGATTTAAAATTCACATCCCTAATCTCGTATGACTGATTATGTAGAATTTGATATTTATTTGATTATAATTTGAATTATGGTTTATTTAAAATATATGATGTTATTGGAATTGATTGATCGGGAAAGACAAGGTATATTTTCTTTCTCTAATTTGTGTGTTAATAATCTCTAAAAACATTATACGTATTGAATGGTTTGGAATTGCATCAAACTCTACTTTTTTTGTGTTTTCCCGATGTCAGACAATAGCTCGGTACTGCCTGGCAGTACCCTGCTACCGCCACAAGCCATTCTGCTCTGTCGGTACCTGCGCTTGGACGGTAGCTCGGTACCGACCGACGGTACTAAGGTACCGCCTGGCGGTACCGGGGTACCCTAACAAATACCATGTCGGATCCATTCTCAACTCGTTATTTTTTTGTTTGTCGCGATTCAAATCTCGAATTGAATTCAAAGTCTTCTGTCTTGTATGACGGTAAGTGGAAGATGTTTGCACTGACATTATGCCACTATTTGAATTGTATTATGATATATATATATGTGTGTGTGTGTGTGTGTGTGTGTGTGTGTGTGTTTGTGTGTGTGTGTGTGTAATGTTGTCCTCTTATTATATTTTGGTTAGGAAAATGCTATTTGTACCCCAAGAATTTGTAACTTTGTACCCCTTTTGTATACCGCACGGATGCACCAATATTTTGTGTTGGTGTAATGCTAGTTTTTGTTAACACAGCAGCACTTTGTATCAGTGTAAATTCTTGTTAACGCACCAACACTTTGTATCAGTATAAACCATCAAAATGTTGGTGCACACTTTTGGTATACAAATGGGGTACAAATTTTGGGGTACATGTAGCATGCTCCTTTTGGTTTTAATGTTTGTTTGCCTTGAACGAATAAAGTAAACTGAGTTGTTCATAGCTTGTACCTGAATATTTAAATAGAGTAAATGAGATAGGTTTTCTAGAAGAACTCTATGACGACATTGTGAAAATTGATATTTGTAAGTTGACAATAGGTCTTAGAGCCTTGTGGGCTTAGTTTAGTGCCTAGTGGCATTCAGGTAAATATGTACGTACATGAAATCTAAGATCTGATCCGTAAAATTAGAGGTTCCACTCAACTGGCGCCGTAGGTACCGGGTTGACAATAATCATGACTGTAGGTAGTGGTTCTGATGTCATAGATTACACTTGAGTCACAACCTTAGGTAGTGGCTATATGTCCTAAGATAAGATTCTGGATAATGATGAATTGACCTTAGCCTAGAATAGATTATGAGCTAGTGTTTAGTAGAGCCATTTTAAGAACTTGAATGTTGAATTGATAACTTATGCAACTACAGAATTGAGTTAAGTAATATGTGGTGCAAATTGTTGATTTTGCAGATATTATTAATGTTGTACGTGTGTGCATTATATTGTATGAAATTATGACCTAGTGAGTTCGTCTATATGCGTAGTCGAACGTTAGATATTTCTCAATCAGCTTAAATGTTGAGTGTGTAGCCCTTCTTTCCTCTTTGCTACACGTATATAACAGGAACGATGAATAAGGGAATAATCCTAGAGAACATCGAGAGCAGAGAGATGGATGGATGATTGCTAAGAAGTTATTTAATAATTTAAATATTATATTTTTATTAATTATATTTCGGGGAAGAACCTAAAGTTGTGTTTTGAACTAAGTACTTAAATCTTCCGCATTGTTTTGTTAACTCCGATGTATATTTAAATATTTTTTTGAATTAAATAGTTTTAAGTTGTTTGAAAATATTATGTTTAGAGTCAATTTAGTAGCAACCTGATCCGCTGGTCCTTGTATTTGAGTTGCGTGAGTCGGGTTTTACATTTTGGTATCAGAGTAAATGGTTTTAAATATATATATATATATATATATATATATATATATATATATATATATATATATATATATATATATATATATATATATATATATATATATATATATATATCTCCCTTTGAAAATGACAGTGGCGCTGGGAATCGAGAATCAAGAACGACGGTGGCAACAGGCCGAAGACCGGGGGAAGATCGGGAAACCGGGGGATTTTCCTCCATCTTCAACACCTCTTGTTGGAAATTGAGGATGACGGCCGGTGGCGCCGGCCTAAGGTTTTGACCCCTTGGACGGTGGCCGTTCTCTGAACCGTCACGAGACACCGGTAGATTATCTATAAAATTGAAGAGTGAGAAAAGAGGGGGAGAAGAAGAAGATAGATTGAGAGATTAGACGCAGCCACGCAGGAGAAAGAAGGTGGAGAAGAAGAAGGAAGGAGGAGGGAGGAAGAGGAAAAGAAGTTAAAGAACAGATCTGTGAAAAAAAAAAGAAGAAAGAGGAGATTTGGGCGGAGATAAAGGAAAGAATGAATGAAAAAGGAAACAGAAAAAATAATTTGTAGATAATAAATAATCATAAAAAATCCTATAAAATCACGTTGAAAAATACACCAGAATATTGTACGTAGACTTAACACAATTCATTGATTTTATATAATCCATAGATTTTAAATAATCTATCAAAATCCTTTAAAATCTGAATTGAATAAACCATCTCCTTTCCTTTTCTTTTGAATTTCAACACAAATTAGCATGAAGATTGCAGCCTTCCTTCCCAGAGAAACCACGAACTCAGCTTTCCTTCGATGATTCTTATGGCGTATCAACGATTTTTTTGGTAGTAGCCAATTGCTCTCCATTACAACCCAATTTCCGACGTATGAATGATTCTTTCCATGAGGTATTCTTTCCTTCGTTTTATTTACTCCACAACTTCTATTGGTTAGTTTTTATTAATTTTATTTTCCCCAAATGGTTAGGGTTCTTATTTGTTGTCTTTGTTGACATATACTACCTCTGTCTCAAAAAGAATGAGACGGTTTGACTTTTTGAAAAAATTAATGGAGAGATATTTTGGTATTGACTTTTCAAAAATACCATTGATTTAATGGGTAAAAGTAAGATGTGATAGGTAGATTATTAGGAAAAAGGTATTACGTAGTATGTGATAGGTAAGGTATGAAAAAGTAAGGGGTAAAAGTGGTTTTTTAATAGAAATGTAACGGACTTTACGGGACGCAGTTTTTTCTAAACGTAACAAACTTTTTGGGACGGAGGGAGTATATAAAAGTACGCCATGGTATATGTATTATGTATATATCGGCGTCCGGTTCACCGGTTCCCGGTCCGAACCGGCCGGTCCGGTCCAAGCAGTCAGACCGCATCCTGCATAGAACCGGTAGGAACCGGTTAAATCCGGAGAAAACCGGCCGGTTTCACTCCGGAACCGGTTTTCTTTTTTTTTTTTTTAAGATTTTTAAAAAACACATGCCCAAGGAGGGACGCAGTTTTTTCTAAACACATGCCCGGAGTGTTTTTTCTAAAAAAAACTCCGGGACGCAGTTTTTTCTAAACGTAACAAACTTTTTGGGACGGAGGGAGTATATAAAAGTACGCCATGGTATATGTATTATGTATATATCGGCGTCCGGTTCACCGGTTCCCGGTCCGAACCGGCCGGCCCGGTCCAAGCAGTCAGACCGCATCCTGCATAGAACCGGTAGGAACCGGTTAAATGTATTATGTATATAATACATAATACATTGTAGGAACCGGTAGGAACCGGCCGGTTTCACTCCGGAACCGGTTTTCTTTTTTTTTTTAAGATTTTTAAAAAACACATGCCCAAGGAATCGAACCCAGGACTGCTTCAGTGGACGGGCCTTGTAGAGACCATCTTTGCCACCATGCTTTTTGGTTATTCTCTACTTTTCGTTAGCTATATTCTTTGTTTAAATTTTTTTTATCAAATACTTTTTAAGTATTTATAGTTTTTTAAACTAAAATTCAAACCCATTGATATACTCCGTAATTGATATGGAGTTCATATCACACAAATATTATATATATATATATATATATATATATTATGGGTAAAAGTTTTAAAAAAATTCAAATGACTTTTTATTTATATGTTTTTTAAATAAATAAATTTTATTTTTTATTTAATGACAAAACTCAAGTAAATTAAGTTAAATTATAAATTTAGTCAAACATCATTTTTTTATTTATAAAAAGTGAAAATGTTATTTTATTTACTTATATATTAGTTTTTTGTAATTCAATTCCACAACGTACATATATACATATACAGATACATACATACATACATACATACATATATATATATATATGTATGTATGTATGTATGTATCTATATTTTTATCTATTTATTTATTTGTTTATTTATTTATATACATATACATATATATATATATATATATATATATATATATATATTATGGGTAAAAGTTTTAAAAAAATTCAAATCACTTTTTATTTATATGTTTTTTAAATAAATAAATTTTATTTTTTATTTAATGACAAAACTCAAGTAAATTAAGTTAAATTATAAATTTAGTCAAACATCAATTTTTTATTTATAAAAAGTGAAAATGTTATTTTATTTACTTATATTCGTTTTTTGTAATTCAATTCCACAACGTACATATATACATATGCAGATACATACATACATACATACATACATACATATATATATATCTATATTTTTATCTATTTATTTGTTTATTTATTTATTTATTTATTTATTTATTTATTAAAAATGTTTGAACCACTGGTTCAACCACTCGAACCACTCGTTCAACCAGTAAACCAATGAACCAATGCCTTGACCGGTTCGATCACCGGTTCGGTTCTGAAAACTATGTTATATACTCCACGTCTTATACAGTTTATTTACTCCGCAGCTCCTCATTCAAGCACATATTTTCTGTTTAGGAACATTTTGCAAAATTTACAAAAAAGTCAGAATATTTGATGCATTTGTTCATCGGAATTATAGATTTCTTATTTATGGATAATACATTCTATTTTTTATAGTTTCTCTTTCCGTTGTAATTTTGGATATCCATTCTAGATCTGTTCACGCCTAAGTATTCTCTGATGAAGTCACGAAGATCAGCAGCGCTCTTGATTACCAGGTGAAATTGTTCTCCAAGGTCTTTATAATTACTGTTATTTTTTTGCTCAATTCTTAAATTCATTAGAACTGAGGTTTAATTGCGGCTACTTTGAAAAAAGAGTTTTTTAAAAAAAATTCTTTTTTTTGAAGTTATTTCTTTTGTTCATTGATGACATGGTGCATGATTGAAAAGAATGGAAAGTGATGATATTGGTTATCACATTCGGTGATTATCTATTGTAGTCATCCTTAGTAGATTTCAGTTATTCGACCATCAATTACGAAAACTCTGATTCGGGTGGCTTACTCCTTACATCTGTTTACTCCTCTGATCTGTATTCCATGACTTTTTATTGAAAATGTCACCTAGAATGCCTCTGGTGGAGATATCCAACCAGATGCTTTTTAACCCATACTATAGTATTTGTGCACATGACCCATGTATATGACCAATCACGCACATTATTAGCCATTTCGACAGGCTGAATGCTGTTGATATAGAGACGACCTCCGTATTCCATATTGCTGCCAATGGTAATCACAACTCAAAAATGTCGTTTAAGTATAGCAAAGCCACAACAGATAAAGAGTTCAGAGGAAATAAATCTAGAAATATATAGCAAACACAGTGAACTTACACCATAGAGATATACTCAGAATCCAAACAAAAAAAGGAAAGGAAAAGAACAATTAGCCATACAATTAAAACTAAAGACTCCAAAAGTTTTAAAAGGAGAATTTCAATTCATTTGAAACTTTTACACTTTTGAATTCTCTTTCATTGTTTATATATTCCAGAAGTAACACAAAGAATCTCATTATTCAAGTCCAAATTACGTTAATAATTCAACCAAAAAATCAATCCTTCAAATTTTATCCAAGACACATTATTTCCAAGGTATGATAATATTGTTGTTGACTCATAAAATTGTATCTGCTAGGCTAATAATTACAAAGTTGTGTGATTATATGAATGTGTTGTTTAAAATGCAGTAGTCATAAGGTAATTATTTGTTATGACACCGAATGCCTGGGTGTCTTTCTTTTCCTTCTTAACACCTACATTTAGTTCTCATGTGAGTGTCACTTTGTTTTCCTAGCCATACCAGCACAGGATGTGTGCGAGTATTTGCTTTCCACCTGTGCACCAGCATTATGTGTAATGTCCTAATCTACGCCGCTGCCCATTGCTCGCCAAAGACAGATAAGCCTCTTCAATATCTTTTTTTATTACTTCGTACATATTAACTACAAAATGAATACTCCTCAAATGATTCACCAAATAAAAAGAGGTGTTTAAGGTTTGCATCCTTTTAATTCCGCCCTTTTGTCTTTGATCTATATTCTCCAAATCACCAATTATTTATAAATCAATGTTTTTTGCAGTGTAGATGTTGGTCAGTGTCTTGAGGAATGCCACACAGAATGGTAAGGGTTAGGTTCAGTAATATAATATGAAATTATATATTTTAAATTTATATCTGTAGAATTTAAGGAGTAGTTTTCTAAAAAACACTCTATAATCCAGTAGTATGTGTTGGTTTCTTCCCACTCAACTAGCAGTTATTAGTATTTATTAGTTTATGTGAGGAGCTCATAATCCCATCAGTTATTTAAAACATATGCTTTGTGCATTTGAATCTTTATTGGTATGAATTTAAATAAGGAAAAGTGAAGTAGTATTCAATCTAATGCCACATTCAGCATCTTGGTTTTCTGTTATATAATTGTCCATTAACAATAATAATCATTATAAAGAAGAGTGATTTGCCATATTTTGCTAAAAGATGTGGATACCTAGTTAGTGCAAAGCGCCAAGGAGAGAAAGAATCACATTAATACATCATAGAAATTAAAATCATATATTTCCGTTAATGTAAATTAATGTGGCAGAGAAGAATCATGGTTTTTTAATATTAAAATTACAAGATCGGAACTCTAAGTTTGTTAAATAAATGCGGGGGAGAAGAATAATAAAATCACCAATGTTTTTGTCGTATATTTTTTGAATTCAGGGGGTGAGAAGAATTATATATTTGTAATAATTTAGTAAACCTATATTTCGTGTGTGTGTAAGTGTGTGTGAAAATTAAATGATACTCCCTCCGTCCCCCTAAGATGTTCTCATTTTGACTTTTGGTGGTTTTTAAGGAGAGTTGAAAAAAGGTAAAATTTTACCATAATACCCTTAATGAAAATGGGTGGAGTGTATTAAATGAGGTGTGTGATGTATAATAAATAAAGTAAGTGTGGGTAGTTTTAGTATTTTAATTGTTAAAAAATGAAATGAGAAGATCTATTGTGGACAAAGAAAAAGGGCTATTGGGAAGATCTATGGGGGACGGAGGGAGTATATAACATTAAAAAAATTAAGTTGTTTAAATATTTGATATTGTATAATAAAAACGAATTTCGTTCCACCACGGGTTAAAATACTAGTACTAGTACTAGTATATACGTAGTATATATAAAGTAGAGTGTATCAATTGTTGGGCCGCCACGTGTCAATCCACATGTGTCATTTTTAAGTGTACGTGGTTTTTTTTTTGAGTCATCACCCGCATAGGCATTGTAAGTGTGGAGAAGGCCAAAAGTTAAAACCGATGCTTCATCCGGAAGCCTATCGGTTAATCTAAAAAACCCAGCCAATTCTCAATTCACATCCTCCAAATCGAGCATCAATCTATCACTCTCCGTCAACATGATGAGGCCTGCTTCCCTTGCGTTTCGCCACTCGATCGGAAATGGCTCCTCGGGGGGAGTAAATCTCACCAGAGCATCTCCAAACACCACCGAACCAATCGCATCAATGAGTGATTTGGTGATCCCATCTCAACCTACTTTTTCCCAGTCGAAAACAATTCTCTCAATTCCATTTTGTTTTCTTTTGATTGATTAATTAGCTCCTAGATTAGACTAGATGCTGAGTGTTGTGTTGGGTGTTTGAATCTTTTTCATGTTGATTAATTTCTTTTTTATTAAATTTAAAATTTTCCCTCAAGTATTGGCATGAGAGAATGTGTAAATACTTTGTTTTGCTGGTCTGCATGTTATTCGGACACTGTTGAAGTGAATCTTTGACTAATGTTCATTTTCAGTTGGTTATTTGTGAGCCATGATGAATGCTCTGTTCTTTGCCTTTCCTTTTTTCCACCAGAAAGTCATGAGAATCTCGATTTTCTCTCCCCCCCACCCACCCAACTTTTTTCTTCTGAAAAGATGGGTTACAATTGCATCAATTAGTCTTTTTGATTAAAAAAGGTTTTGTAGGACACAATTGTCCATAACTTTGGCCTCAAATTGGGAAGCCAGTAACTCCTTATAATAACAATGAAAAATGTCCAATTTGTGTGGTGTGTAGGGGTGTGCAAATTCCGGTCTGGACCTGAATTTAGACCTGAACTGGACCGGAATGGACCGGTCCGGACCAGCCCGGATTAATCAGGTCCGGTCTCCGGTCTCTATAAATTATAGATTCCGGGTTCCGGTCCGGTCTGGTCTAAAACCCGGATATAACCGGTCTGGACCGGAATTTATCAATATATTATTATTTATAATTTTTTTATACCCATCTGCCCCTCTTTATTCATTATGATGCTAAAGGTATATTTTTCCATCTTTGAACGCTTCTCAACATTCCAAAAACACCTTCATGCGGGCTCAAATGTGACTGAATCACGAAACAAGTAGCATTCTTTATTTGTAATTTTGTATTGATTTGCAGTTGAATATGGCCTTTATTTAATTTAGACAGTAATGTTATCCCATGTATAAAGGCTATAACTCAATTGGGACTGTGCACGGGTGATATTGACTCTGAACGCAGAGGCCACAATGATGTCAAGTACCTGCAAGATGTTCTTTGGTGTCTAGGTTGGATAAGTATAACATTTTCAGTCTATTCACATCGTGTTTTATTTTTCCCCTTCCCTTTTTGCAAATATATTTTCTCACACAAGCAAACTATTTGCAAGTGTGTCTTTTCTTTCTTGCTGTTCTATGAATGGAAAGAGCTAAGAGAATGGAATGATGTCAGATATTCTCTTACAGTTAGTTATCAATCCTTTGCAATACTAATTACATTTACAGGGGAAATTGCTCACTCGAAAGCTCAACACAGTGTCGATATATGATGTCCAAAGATTTGGCGAAAAAGATAAGGTCCGGGACAGTGAAGAGAAGTACTACAACATGTTTTGGATGATAAAAAACTCAGGTAAGTGAATACCTACCTTCTCCATTATTGGTCAAGGAAGTTCCTTGCTGCGCTATGTGAACAAAACAAAGCCCAAAAACAAAAGACCAAAAAACAAGAAGAGTAAAAACAAAGATGTACTACAAAGTATATATAGGGCAGATTTTATTTGTTCTTTGCTACTCCATTTTTTATTCGATAGAGATGTTTTTGAGATGGGTTTGTTGATGGATCTAACCTTATGGAGTTTTAACATGGTGGAGGGTCACAATTTGGTAGCTAGAGAACATTGATGCATTGTTTTGGATATTATAGTTTATAGCTATACTTAATACTTCGTGTATTGAAAACTAATCTGTTTGCAAGTGTTTTAGGCAATGGGAATAACAAGTGACTATTGTCATGGAAGGAACCTTTCAAAATGATGATGGCTACCTGAGGCAGATCGACTTTCCTATTGCCATGGAAGGAAGTGATGTTGTCCTTGGAATTATCTTATGCTGCATAAGAATAGAATTTCATTCTGGACTTGAAACAAATGTAGAGTAGCTTTGGTTATGTTTAGATTGGGGGTCTTGAAAGTGTATCCAAGAAAAGGATGCTTAAAACTACTTATTTTGTTACGACTGGAACTTTGCTTCACGTCCAGGATAAGAACCAACCTTGGTATTCTAAAGACAATATATGGTTGGGCACTCATTTGGTTCCTTTGTTGTTGGCAGTTTTATATTAAGATTTAGATTCATGTGTTGGTACTTTTCAGGGTTCTTTATTTTTTGTGTTTTGGCTTTGCTTTGGTCATTTCCTATTTATTTCCTTTTTAACAATAAAATTACATTTTCTTTTAAGAAAAGTTCACTACCATGTATTTAGTATTTTATTCTCCAATTTTTTTTATGTTTCTTATTTATTTATTATTTATACCTAAAAACTTTCATACTTAATCCTCAGTAGAAAATTTAACTTGGTATATACGACTTTTGTTCAGTAGAAAATTTAACTTGGTATATACAATTTTTTTATCTGCTTCTATTCAGAATTCAATTCGACTTTTGTAACTACTCTTCCTCGGCCCAGCTTCTTTCTTCCTTCAGAATTCAATTTGATGTGTTTTCGCATGTGAGACGTCGGAGGTAGCTTGCTTCATCATGGGCAGTTAATATTCTTTCTCTGTAACGCTAGGTGTGTTTATTACCCCTACTTTATTCCAAATGATTCACCTTCTCTCTGTTTGGATGTGTGTGTGTCTCTCCGGGTATATATATACCGTTTATTGAGCAATTCAAATGGACGTACTGGGTGTTTGTTGAGGTTTACTTATTTTTAGAGCCATGGTATCTTCACTGCAAAAGATGGTAGAAGATTGCATCCCTATTGATAAATTGACGCTTGAATCAAAGAATTGTGCTATTACAGCTCGAGTGTCTCGCCTGTGGGATGTATACAGCTTGAAGGATAACAAAGAGCTAATGAGTACAGATATGGTGCTCATTGATAGACAGGTAATTCACAAGGTAAAATGTTTGTGTGTGTAGTTTTCGTTAATTTTATTTGTTATTGTTGTTGAGTGTATTAAATCGCATCTTATATGTTTTAGGGCTCATATATCCATGCGTCCATTAAGGGGAATTTCTCGCATTTGTACCAAAAACAAATTGCAGAAGGAAGTGTTTACTATATTAAGAATTTCAGTGTTGTTCCTAATAAGACCCGGTACTGTGTTGTTGGAGACAACAAGGTCATGATTCAATTTTATGCAACTACAGTGGTCAAATCTGTTTCAGAAGACTCCCTGGGAATACCAACATCAGCAATACCGAAGCATCGGTTTGATTTACTTGATTTTGATAAGGTTGAATCTAGAATGGGGGCAGATTACATTTTAACTGGTAAGTTTGGCTCTTTAAATCTTCTATGAATAATGATATCAGCATTGTGTTTCACTTATGATGCGTGGTACTTATTACAGATGTGGTGGGCCAAGTTTGTTGCGAGGGGGAGGTCACAAATAAGAATAGCCGTGGAAACAGCGTTTCTTCCTTAATGCTTGAATTACATGATTTGAGGTTAATACTTTTGATAATCAATGAATATGTGATTACTTTAGGTAATAATTGTTCTATTTACCAAAAAAAGCTGCAAATGCAAAAAATAATGAATGGGCTTTCAAATTTCAGAGATGAAAAAATACGGCTTACACTATGGGGTGAGAATGTTGATAACTACATGAAGCAAAAATGATTGCTTCGAAATGGAATTATTGTTGGAGTTTTCACCTCAACCTTGGTCAAGAAGTACATGAGTAAGGGTTTTTGGTTTTAGGTTTTTGGTTTTTGAGTTTCAATATGACGGTTATGGAGTCGGTTGCTACAGTTGAAATGGATTTTCTGATTGCAGACAATGTTGTTTTGTCATCAACCACATCTACAAAGATTTATTTACACCTTGACATTGATGAGGTTCTTGCCTTGAAAAATAAGAGCAGGTATTACGGGTTTATTTTTCCATCCATTTCTTAATACAAAGGATATTCCATAAGTTTTTCACCGAACTAACCATTGCAGTTCTTCGCCAAGGGGACATATAATTCAACCGCTTATCATCGAGAAACAAGAGCTTGATAGACATGCTGTTTTGAGTGGGTTGAAAACAATTGGCGAGCTTTTAGAAATATTAAAGACAGACTTTAAAGATGTAATAAGATAACATTAAAACTGTGCCATTCCTTTGCATACATCCGCTACCAAATCTGTTTTTGACTTGAAAAATCTTTATGTTACACAGGGCACACTACTATTTTGTGTTGCAACGATATATGACATCCACAACAATAATGGATGGTACTACAACTCATGTGGCTGCAAGGGAATAATTAAGGCGTATGGTCAAAGTTTCTGGTGCAAGAAGTGTAATAAGACAGTGAATGATGCCATTCCAAGGTAACATTTATACCTTTCTCATGATAGAATCAGCACATCTTAACACTGTCATTCATGTGATTCACACTGCCTGACTTCAAATTCCAAGCACTATAATACATATGAGGTAGTAATGAAAGCAATTTCTTTACGAATGAACTAAAAAACTGTGCATTTGCAGATTTCGTATTGAGCTTGGGGTCCAGGATGCCATAGATTGTAAGAAGTTCATTATCTTTGATGACGTTGAGAAGATAATAAGACAATCTGCCATTAGCATATATGATATGCAAGAGAAACTGGAGGATGTATTAAGATTTCGAAATACTTTTTTAAGTGTTTGAATTCATAGCTGAGATGCAAAACATTCTAAAAACCTACTCATGAACTATTTCAGAGTGAAGTTTCTGTAGGCGATGTACCACCTATTATTGCAAATCTTATCGGGAAGCGGTTTGTTTTCCATGTCAAGCTCACTGAATCCAACAAGACTGCATATAGACAGAGTTTCACAGCGAATAAAGTTTTGGAGGAATCAACTTTGGAACCAACAAGGAATGAAGAGGTTTTTATTATTATCAGTTTAGACAATACGTATTTTCATGGTTTTATTGATATTCTTATTTACTTGTAATGTACGTTATTAAAACACAGATAAATGATCCACCAGTGCTGCTGCAGACAAAAGATGTTCCCTCAGATGATGGACCAAGTAAAAGAAGACGCTTGAGGTTTGATCACTTGAAACCATTTATTTTATACATGTGTTCCCACTCACGTACTAACTCTCAAGGAAGGAATACCTGTGTTAATGCTTCGAAACATCAACCCAGGACTTGGATTGTGCAATGGGACGAGATTGGTTATCACTCACTTGGGCCAACACATTATACGTGCAAGAATAATAACTGGAAAGAACATCGGCAGTGTAGTGGACATACCAAGAATAATAATAACCTCCAACGATCCGAAATACCCATTTGACCTTAGGAGAAGACAATATCCCCTGCGCATATGCTACGCCATGACAATAAACAAAAGTCAAGGACAGTCCTTGAATCATGTCGGGATCTACCTCCCCAATCCTGTGTTCACCCATGGCCAACTCTACGTAGCAGCATCAAGAGTTACCAAACCCGAAGGACTTCACTTTATGATAAAAGAAAAAGACCCCCTTTACACACACCACACTCGCAATATAGTTTACAAAGAGGTCTTCAACAACATTGCCCAGGTAAGTTTATACACTTCACTTTAAAAAAACAGCAATACACAATAAACAAAAAAATGTGACTAATAACTTCCTTCACCTACAGGAACAAGAACATACAAGTCCCACACTGCAAAATGGCATTATCACTGAATGAAGCAAACATGTATGCAAATCAAGTCAAAAGGTACATGGCCAACATCCCATTTTATAGCCTCAACTAATACATGACATGAAACTTAATCCCGCCAACTTTATTTCCTAACAATTTAATAATACATGGGTAAATACATGGACACATCTAATGCCGTCGTTTATTTCATTTTATTATATTCCTTTCGATATAATACATAGGTACATACATTGATACATCTCTCCACAATGCTGCTCTTTGACTCCATGATTTTATTCTATTACTTTGGAAATAATCTCCTACTCTATATTCTTTCACTGTATTATGATATTTGTTTTACTTTTCAGTTTCTCCAAAACTCCTGACAAGAGAGAGGGGATTTTTACGGTTTCATGATTCAAATGACATGCTAAGTTAATCTCATCTCTTATGCTCTCTTTTAAATTTTATTAATGGTCTCTTTTTCTAGAGGCTATTTGTTATACTTAAAAAAACCAATTACAAAGCAACAACAACTTTGCTGTTAGACGGGGTACATATGTATCATTATCCTTTTCAGGTGCCCATATGTGTAATGTGAATAACATCTCAAAATACTTTACACACCCATTTTCACAGCCTTATGTTTTTTGTTGTTTTGTTAATGTTCTGCTCTATTTCAAAAGCACCTGCTCAAACACTATGCGAGTATCAACAACTATGCTAATGGAGATGAAACTCTCATGACATGGAGATTTATTTATCCAATAAATCCTTGATGCCCACTCATAAACAAAAAATCATGAGGGCACCTAGCTTGGTTTGCGTTAACATTGCTTTCTTTAGTGCCCAATTCAGTACGCCATGTTTTACTAATAATAGATCAACTTTAATCACTTCAAAAACGGTTTTAGTTTTACTTTGTGTTTTAACTTATGTTCTATTTTAATACAACCAAGCCTGTTACGAGTATTAGCCATAGTATAGTATTTGACCACGAAAAACTTCTTTTCATATTCGCCTCAACCCGGACTTGGCCTGACCTCTTAAGAGTAACACTCCTATTTTTAGAGGACCTTTAATTTACTCCTATTACGGAGTATATTTTTTACAACATTTAAATGGCATTTTTATAAACTTTACTATTCTTTATTTTTTGTTTAAAGACGTGAACAAAAACGTGATAATTGACATACATGGAGCATACTAAGGGTATTAGGATTTAAATATTATGGAGTATTACGAATCTAGATTGTGTGTAAATCATTTATAATTCTTCATTCTTGAATTATGATTGCAAACGAAATTCCACAACCCATCTAAAATTTCTTACACAATACAGACAATAACTAATCTCCATACAACAAACACGTGGATAAATCCCCAGGCCGTGCGAAGCACAGGGTAGACAACTTGTTAAATTATGTAATGCTTGATGTGAATAATTGTTGCCTTGTGTGAATAAATATTGCCATTTGTTATCGAGTATTTTTTTGTTAGGTCAAGTATGTATAATTAATTCGATCAAAACAAGTTAGTGATTCATAGAATGAGTCCTGCTTCAATATACAACAATTCATGACGACTTCTGCCATCATGTTATGTAAAAATAATACTTCGTAATAATTGTGTCACGTGCTAACTAATGCATAGGCAACTTTAAAAAAAGGGTTGATATGTTAATGGCGAAGCAATTAAATCACCAAATCAAAAAAACTACTAATGTTAAATTGTTTCGCTGATCATCGTAACAACTTATTTCAGAAAGGGCTGCAGACTTGGATGTATGATGGTGCCTTATTTTGAAATCAGACAAAAATGACAACAAAAAAAACAAGGTGTGAAAAAAAAGAAAGAAGTAACATGTTTTTTTTTAAAAAAATTTGAAACTAATCATTCTTTTTAGAGATACTTCAAACTTGAATTGGAATATTTTTCAAATCTCAAATAATTTATTTTTTGTAAAACTTATTAAGAGGCAATCACATAAAACAAACATGGAAACTATTTGTTATGATTGAGATAGGAATCATATTTAAAGAGAAAAAAATGTTAAGCTAATGTTTAAACAAACACAAACAAATATGGAATTGAGTTCTTGGTAAACATGTTTTTATTAACCTTCTACCCTAGAATAATTTCGAGACAAAATTCCTTTAAGGATGGAAGAAATGTAAAGATCCGGAAATCGGCTTAGTAGCTAGCTGTTATTTTAATATAAATATAATATTTATTTACTCAAAAATATGAAGTATTTGTAACATTGACCTTTTTATTTAAAAATTAGATTTTCGGGTAGATCTCATAAAATGGTGACCAACAATATAAAATTTTTTTAGTTTGAACCTTCGTGTAAGACGTAATGACTAAAATAGACATTACAGTTCAATAAATAGCTTTAAAGATTTTATAATGACATATATATATATATGTATGTATGTATGTATGTCTGTGTGTGTGTGCGCGTGTGCGTGTGCGTGTGCGTGTGCGTGTGTGTGTCTATATATATATATATATATATATATATATATATATATATATATATATATATATATATATATATATATATATATATATAGGGGCCGGTTCCAGTAAGAATGGTGCTTGGTGAAAGAAATAAGAACGATAATGATCCGTTAGATGAGATGAATTGGATGGCCAAGATTTACATCATGTTTAATGGTTGGCGACTAATTAAAATGTTAAGTATTAATTAGATTCCTTTAAAATAGGGTGGTAGTAGTTAATAAGGGTATAAACGGAAAACTAAAAGTACATTAGAGAAACGCTATAAAAATCCCCCATACTTTGCACTTTCTATTTTATTACATAAAAACATTAATTTCATTTTCTTAGTCTACTATAATGCTTATTTACACATAACTTTTCGTACACAAGTCCGTCTTTGACAAATAATTTGTTGTTAGAAATCTCTCGTCAAGATCTACCAAACGATACCAATATTGAATACTTTCTTCGTCCAAATTTAGATGACATATTTATTATTTACAGAGTCAAACTTTATTTACTTTATTTTTTTGACATCTTATTTCTTTTGTTCAATTTTTTTTGTTACTCATTTGATAAAATAATATTGTAATATCATCTTTTTATGGGATGCTTTTTAATATCCCATTTTTTCCAATGCAATGTGATGGTTGATAAATGCGTTGTGATTTGTCGTTTTGATTTTATTCAAATTTTAATTCTTAATTTTTTGATTAGTGAATAATGACTACTAATTGACTTTGTATGTGATGAGAAAACCTGAGAATGCATTGCATTTCAACCAAGTGTGATACAAATTTGAAAAATAGTTTAACTATGCGGGATTCAAACCCACACCCACAATGCTTACCGCTCTACCATTTGAACTTATAAACAACAGTTTTGTTTTTCAAAGATATTCTCATCTTATACTTAAACATATTAAATATGCATTTTAAATATTTAAATCTGCATCCCTGAACGTGTTTCTTATCCATATACAAATCTATCACATTACTTTTTGGTGCATCATCATTTGCAAAATTTTCATTATCTAGAATACATTAATGCATCATAATTGTGTAATGAGAATTTCACCATCTCATAGATAAAAATCCACTTTGGTTCTTAGAATATATAATAATCCTTTACCTCGACTTTAAGAATGCAATTCTTTATCATGGAAATGCATTACATTTATTCATAGAATGCACAATACTAGAAATCCACGAATTGTTTGTTCATCAATGATTAAACATTAGTAGCGATGAAAAACAAGTTAAACTGCAATGCACTTTGAATTCTCTATGATGCATATCTATGTGGTATAATATGCATTTATAAACATCTTGCTCTATGGTTACCCATCGTCATCTTCATCTTGGTCCCGTGAAGTGCCATAATCCATATTCATGGTAATTGACCTTGTGGAGATTGCTATATAATATGCCCTACGAAATCTTTCTGATGCACTGAATATTTTATATAATGCACTAAAAATGCATACTACAAGAGTGGATTCTATATAATATGCACTATACAATCTTTCTGATGCAGTAAATAGTTTATATAATGCACTAAAAATGTGTATTGTGGGAGTTGTTAAGTATGGATGTAACACAATGAAACATGGTCTAAAACTTATTACTCCCTCCGTCTCCTAGTTTTTGTCTATTTTTTACTTTTGGAACTGTTCATCTAAGCACTTTGACTCATCAAATTCTCTCAATGTGTAAGCCTAAATATAGTCATGTGTGATCTTGTTTGATTTGTTTTAACATATAGATTATTAATATATAATTTCTATAATTTTTTAATATACAAATTACAAGATAAAATGGATTTAAAAAGTGCATTGGATGGTGTGCAAAAATGAAAGTGGACAAAAACTGGGGGACGGATGGAGTACATAATAGAAGTATTTTTAAATTATACTTTGGTCCAATAAACATTATTTATGCATTTGACAAAACATAAAGGGATTTTTGAGGGAACAATATTTTGATAAAACTAATTTTTATGTATAAGTATTGATCACGCAAATCCAACTATATAATTTATAAATTAATCTGATTTACATATTTTTTGTTATGAAATTTTTAAAATATTAAAAAGCATGAAACAAAAGAAATTTCATTGTAGTTTTTAAAAGTTATGTTTCATCACAAGAATATTTTTAATGTTCATGTAAACGAAAACAAATTGAAATTACAGAGTAACAATTAGTACATTAAAAAGAAAAACTCTATTTGTAATGGCGATAATAAACTTCCATCTAAATTAAGGAACATAAAAATCTACTCCCTCCGTCCCGTGAAACATGTGACTTTTGTTTTTTAGGAGGGATTTAAGGGGAGTGTATTTTGGTATTAAATTTCCAAAAATGTCCTTTGATGTGATGGGTAAAAGTATGATTTGATAGATAGATTATTAGTAAAAAGGTATGATGTAATAGTTAGGATATGAAAAAATAAGGGATAAAAGTGACTTTTTAATAGAAATGAGAAATGTTTTGTGGGACGGATAAAAAAAGAAAGGAGAAAGGTTTAATGGAACGGAGGGAGTACAAGATATTAAAAATGTGAGGTCAATGAAATAAAATTAAAATGGAAAGAATGGGAGATGGAGGAGTGCGTATATGCTATTTAGTTTTATCTCTAATTTGCCCCTTAAGGTATTTAGAAAGGAAACTTTATTAGCTCTTGCGTGGCAATAATCCAACGGTTTAGAATGATTCTTATTTCTCTCATAAGATGTCATTATCACCGGAACCAAATTCTATATATATATATATATATATATATATATATATATATATATATATATATATATAGGGGTTGGTTCAAATGAGAATGACTCTCAATGAAAGAAATAAGAATAGATTGCAGCCATAGATTAAGCCTGATCGAATGGATGAGATGTGAAGTAATCGCCACATACGTTGACTTCCACATATGGTAAGATTCAATTACGCAGCAGAAAAAAGGACCAAAATGTGAGATTAAGGGCATAATGGTAAATTAATGCATCTCATATTTAGGAAAACAGAAGGGCCGTAAGAATTTGTTGTCGGGTTCCATACTTAAATGGTGCATTCTCGGATTTCCACAGTGCATTCCCAAACAAGTCTTCATTTTTAATTAAATTTTGAGCCCTATTAGATAAGTTACTCCGTACGTTTTGTGCAAATCTGTTGCATCTTAGAATTTTGTAGGATAAATCAATAAATTGGGTCCTTTTTCAAAGCAAAATTAAGGTGTTTCCTACATGCTTTAAACATACAAAGATTTCTTCCATGCACAAATGGGGTCTCGTGTAAAGGATGTTATTATCAGAATTCATAGTGCACTTTAACATTTCCACAACGCTTTTTCAGACAATCAACACATTCACCTAATTCCACACACATTCTCGAATTTCCATAATACATTCTCATATTTTCACAATGCATTCTGAGATGAGTCCTGTTTTTTAGCTTTAGATAATTTAATTTTCATTGTAAATTTGTGCATCAAAGAAGTTTGCAGGCCAATAAGTAAATGGTTTTTTTCCTTCGTGCTTACACAATGATTTCTTCTATATATATGTGCGCAAATGTGTTCAACAGTCATATATCATTCTTACACCAGTCATATATCATTCTTAGACTTCCAAATTGCATTATTATTAAATAATTTAGCGTCGGTCATGAGAATTTAAGGATCTAAGCCGAGAACAGAAAAACTGAAAAAAAGCCATTAACCCTAACCAATATATTAAAGTACATAAAAATTATAAGGTATTATTCTCTCCTCTTTTTCCTTAAAAAAACCTCTCTTCTTTTTTCAAACATAACACACAAAGTTCATAAATTTATAGTATAAAACTATAAATGACATGAAAAATAATATACAATACCGTTTCAATATAAGAAAAATGCACTTGAGTTGGTTTTCAAATTTCAAGTGCACTAGTAAATGGGAGAAAATAACTAATAAAAGCATTAGGTGGAGAAAAACAACACAAATTGATATTAAAACGGATTCAGTACATAATAAATAAATCTCTAAAATTACATGAAGGACAATTGCTATTGACATACATGAAAACCTATTCAATTCTACATTCTACACTAATGTTTTGCCTCCTTGCTTCTTCTTCCTCAATTTCTTCTGCATATTTGAAATGCTTACTGGACTTGTTTGTTCCCAACTTTGATATAGGCACACATACTTTTGATGGTGCAGCAAACCTGTATAGTAGTATAATGTACTATATACCTAAGGTAAGTGCATTAAGAACATTAAAATATGCAATATGATTAGTGAAAAATGTTGAGAACCTATGAAAAGTGCAATATAAGTATCAACATTAAAAATGTTTAATGAACAAAGTGCAATAAGTTGAGCAAACAATGGATCCAAGTATTGCTAAAATGAATTGAAGAATATTACATTAAAATATAATTTTCATCTTGTGTGCGATTAACCCATAAATAAAATTCATACATATATAATATAAACTGTATAACATAACAATATAAAGTGCAATAAACTAAGGTCAGTTAGTGTGTAAAGGTGTAGTATATATAACCAATAGAGTTCATAGAATGTTACTGGTATAATATGCCATGCATCCTGTCTTTTAATGTGCAATGAAAGATATGAAAGATAGATGTCAATCAAAATGCAAGCGAGGTACTTCAAAATAAATGTGGCCTGATTTTAAATCTATATATACAATATGAAAGATAGATGTCAATCAAAATGCAAGCGAGGTACTTCAAAATGCAGTGTAGAGACTTAAAAAATGTAAGAAAGGGAATGAATATACAACACAACATGGCCTTTAGGAGCACATAGTGTCATATAAAATTAAATGATTGACAAGATGAATAATCGTAGTAAGTGCATAAATCACAAACAATTGTGCATACATTCTGGTAAATCTATGCATAATAAAGGTGACCTATTTTTTCATCTACATATGCACTATAAAACACTAAACTTAATCAAAATGAAAGATATGCACTTAAAATGCAAGGTAGACACTTCAAAATGTTAGTCTAAGATGCACCAGAACATTAAAAGCAACAAAGAATGTCCAATGTAAAACATTAACCAACAAAGAATGTATAGCACTGTCATATGGTGTAAAACAATATGCAACAGAAAAAAAATCCATGGGAACAAAGATGCATTAGAAAAAATAGTGAAGGAACAAATATGCAAGAGAAAAAATCACATTGAAAAAAGATTCAATGGAAGCGGAAACATTTCACTCATTAACTATTATCATACCTCAGTTCATATCCAATTAACAAAGAATGAACAGTTCACTTAAATACTTATCATTCTTTTCAAATCGAATAAGAGTTTACGACATATGCACTACAAAGTCCTTATAATGCACTAAAAATTTTACAAAATCAGATTGAAAGAGTCTATACAGAACTTATTACATTTTTTATTGCTATGATATCAATTTTTCAGACACCATTTTGCAACATATGTGCTTTCAGATTTCTAAGCATTGACAAAAATGCATGCCTTCATTGAATACTTTCAAACTAAAAATTAATAGTATAGATAAACAATATTTTTTTTTAACAAAACTCATTTGAATGTAGTTAAAATGGAGTAAAAACAGAATGGGATCCCATTGATAGATAAAATGAAGCATGTGATAATCACATAATACCAAAGTAATTACAACTAATCAGCCTATTAGACATTTTCACTCCCAGATTGATAAACCCTAGATTAAAAACAGATCAATTGATTCAAGAGAGGGTAAACTTCATCACAACCTTGTTTCCCTCAAACACGATGTGTTTAGCCAATTCATATGGAAGAACAAGCCTCACGGCAGTCTAGATAAACAATATTGTAGATAAAATCACATCTAAATCTATAGAGTAAGAAAATTGAAGTGGTATTTGAGAATTTACCTAATTACAAATTACAGTACTCCGTATTATCCATCAGCGATGTTATCAATGAACACTTTTTGTGAATCGAGAATTGGAGAGAGATGGTTATCACACTCGGATAATATCGGATAATAGATACATGGTTGAATCATCAAATCTCCATTATTGACGATAGTGAAATGAATCCTGGGCAAATTTTGTGGAGCCAATTTGGAAAGGATTGAACAAAATCAGCGTTAGATTTGATATAAATATAAAAAACCCAAAAAGCCCTTAACATAAAACATGTGCGTACTCCCTGATCGATCAAATCTAATGGTGGTTAAGCATTCTTATTTCTTTCATAAGATCGTATTCTCACCGGAACCAAACTCTATATATATATATATATATATATATATATATATATATATATATATATATATTGGTTCTGGTGAAAATGCAATCTTAGGAGAGAAATGAGAATGAATCTGGTGCTTTAGATTGTGAGATCTAAGGGTCAAGATTTCATCAAAATTAGATGCACCAAAATGGTGCGAAAATGCATCACGTTGAAATGCATCATAAACCTTCGAAAATGCATTATCTCAAAATCTGAGCACAGGGAGCCGCACGATGCATCAGATCCGACGGCTAGATTTTATTCTCATTTCTCTCCACAAGGTGCATTCTCACGGGAACCGGCCCCTATATATATATATATATATATATATATATATATATATATATATATATATATATATATATATTTTGGTTCTGCTGAGAATGCAATCTTAGGAGAGAAATGAGAATGAATCTGGTGCTTTAGATTGTGCGATTTAAGGGTCAGGATTGCATCAAAATTAGGTGCAACAAAACGATTTGAAAATGCATCACGTCGAAATGCATCATAATCCTTTGAAAATGCACTATCTCAAAATCTGAGCGCAGGATGCAATCTGAGCCGCACGATGCATCATATCCAACGGCTAGATTTCATTCTCATTTCTCTCCACAAGGTGCATTCTTACAGGAACCGGCCCATATATATATATATATATATATATATATATATATATATATATATATATATATATATATATATATATATATATATATATATATATATATATATATATAGGGGCCGGTTCCCGTGAGAATGCACCTTGTGGAGAGAAATGAGAATAAAATCTAGCCGTCGGATCTGGTGCATCGTGTGGCTCAGATTGCATCCTGCGCTCAGATTTTGAGATAGTGCATTTTCGAAGGTTTATGGTGCATTTCGACATGATGCATTTTCGAACTATTTTGGTGCATCTAATTTTGATGAAATCTTGACCTTTAGATCTCACAATCTAAAGCACCAGATTCATTCTCATTTCACTCCTAAGATTGCATTCTCACCGGAACCAAAATCTATATATATATATATATATAGATTTTGGTTCTGGTGAGAATGCAATCTTAGGAGAGAAATGAGAATGAATCTGGTGCTTTAGATTGTGAGATCTAAGGGTCAAGATTTCATCCAAATTAGATGCACCAAAATGGTGCGAAAATGCATCACGTTGAAACCCATCATAAACCTTCGAAAATGCACTATCTCAAAATCTGAGCGCAGGATGCAATCTGAGCTGCACGATGCATCAGATCCGACGGCTAGATTTTATTCTCATTTCTCTCCACAAGGTGCATTCTCACGGGAACCGGCCTATATATATATATATATATATATATATATATATATATATATATATATATATATATATATATATATATATGGGGGAGGTTTCTATGACATTGATAACCAATTTCATGGGATGACCCGGGGCGCTCCGGTGACCCGTTCGTAAAATTGACGGTTCCTATCCCGCCTAACCCCCGGTAAATCCCCAATCCCGTCCCGACCCGAACACACTCCCTATCCACACAACGATGACACCAAAAATTTTAAAAAACACGAAGGTAATCACGTCAGCATCCTTAAGCACTAGAGCCTTGCAACAAATTGTCAGTTCAAATTTTAGAAATTCTCAGTCGCGCAATCCGGTATGAGAAGCATGCTAGAAAAAAGATTTTGAGCAAATGACAACATCATAACTTCATACTCCCTGACCTGCAAGAGACAATGAAGGACATTGCAAGCGTATAGACATTTAGCAAACTATTTTTTAGAGCATGCAAACTAAACTTTAAAATATTTTATGTTTATAGACATTTAGCTAACCCTTCTTTTTGTTGTGAAACATTATCCACAACCACAGTGCACCAAGACTGATTTGGGGATTCATCTTTAACCCTTTTGTGGATTAGAGAAATTTAGTTAGGACTTGATTCATGTCATTCTCCTATACAATACGCAAGACATAAAACAGTCACAAACATTTCATATCTATATTTAAATATAACAGACATAAAGCATATGCAAAACAGAACAAAGAGCACAAGGATTTGTGCAAGTCTTAACCTCATTCGTGCGTGATTCCCAACCAAACCAACATCTATATTATTTGTAGCAAGCCAATAAGAAGCACTTCACATGATTGCAGGACAAGTTTAAAAAAAAGAATTCACAGTCAAAAAAGGCTAATTTCCCAATAAAAAATATTTGAGCAATTAAATTTGAGATTACAAACAAAAAACCTAATTTTGAAATAAAAAGTAAGAACATTGTGAATAAACCTGAAATAAAAATAATAATTATATTACTAGAACATTTTATATAAGACGGGGGTAGGAGGTGTCTCACAAACAAAAAGAATCATGAAAAAAGAACAACATGTCTTCACAGACAATGAGGAATGATTAATTAGGACTTCACAGACACAAAGGAACCGTTTATACATACTTCACAGACACAGAGGAACCATTTATATATACTTCACAGACAACATGCTATACTTCACACATATGATAGTTTATACAACATAGGGGGAAAATACACTGGGAACCTTAGATTTTGAATGACAAAATCGCTTATGCAATATTTTGCCCAAAAATAGCAAACTGATAAACCAATTTGGACAAAAATTAGTATTCTGATAAATGAATTGCCCGAAAAGCAATGATAACCCTAGATTTTGAAAAACTTACCTTTTGAATTTGAAAAACTTGTGGAGGGCTGATTTTTTTTGTTGAGGGAGAGCGCAGGCGAAGACGATGAAGGAGGCCGACGATGTAGACAATGAAGGAGCTGTGAAGAGGACGAATGCAGAGATGGTGTGAAGACGGTGAAGAAGGCAAAGGGAGGGGGGGGAGGTAGAGAGAAGAGGGAGACGTATTGGGGTGGGGGACTGACTGAAAATGTAGGGGGTGGGGTGGGCTTTTATATGTACATATGGTGTACCATAATGGTGTACACATAGATTTTTCCAACAAATAAAACTGCAAGCCATCCACAAAATAAAGTATTGGAAGCAGAGCACAAGTCAAATAAAAAATCAGAAAGTTTAAATTACTTCAACTTCCCCTCATGCCACATTAGAATTTCTCCAACTTTTCCTCACCACTAGGGATGCTCTTATAATCAATGGAAAACAAAATTCACCCTTATTTAAAAACAGCAAACATAATTTCACTGTATAAACAGTAAATATGGATTAAAAGTATGGATACAAACAGCACTGGAAATGCTTTTAAAGGTGTGCAGAACCTTAAAGACACCAAGCATAGTTAAAGGCATGCTTTAAAGTTGCATAGCCTAATTAGCCTTAATAACAACATACTGTTATAGTTAAAACGTCTTGTTTCTCTTGTTACAACAAACCAGGTCCTAAATCAAACTGCGTCATAGATTATGTCACAAAAGCAGCCTTCCCTAAATCACATCTTGAGATGATCTCCCCACCAAAAATGCTCATTCCTGAACAAAACAACCATTCATCTATTCTGAGTTATTTCCATCAATAAGAAGCAATGTACACAATATAAAATTTAAAAAATTTTCTTTTGTCATGCATCAATGGCTAAGTAACACTGCATGCGAGAGAAGTGGGATTGTTGTATTAGTGTAATGGAGTTATCACTTTCCTTTTTCATTGATTTCAAAAACATCAAAACATTTTTTAGTTTGTACTCAAATCACACTAAATTAAATTTTCTCTCAAAAGTTATAGAATCTACATCTCACAGAATATGCAATCAAAACAACGATGAATATCATGATTATGTAACCTACAAATTATTAGAAATAAAACAATATCATTTTTTATAACGCATTTGTAACAAAATAACTATAGTTACCTCACATCAATGGAGTGAAATATCGTCGAAAGTTGGGATCGTAGAAGATGCTTGAGTAGAGAATGCACAAAAAGTCCGGTTTAAATGCATGCATGAACTCCCAAATTGCACTGGCTTGATGGGATTTAGCGAGATACTTTATATTTCCAGTTAGTTGATCATAAATATGAGTAAAAATGTTCCTCATAAAGTGTAAAAAACCTCCTATATCATCGCTACATTTAAAGCCATGAGTAGTGTTAGCCCAAATTTTTTTTATGGCTAAATAAAAGCCATTTTGATTGAGTGCGGGGTTTTTGATAACCAAATTCTCAAACTCTGTTTTCCAAGAAAATGATTTTGTGAATTGTTTAGGCACCGAAACTGAATTGTTAATATCTAGACTTAACACCATCTTTTCAACGAATATCTCGTTCCATAGTGCAGGGTGATGCATGATAAATTCATGGCTTTCCCTGCAATAAAACACAAATTATATATATGTGTGTGTGTGTTGTTCCACATCAAAGAAAGTACTATCAAATCCCTAACAAAACAAACAAAAAATATAAACTATAAGGGACTCTTTATTTTCTAGTTAGACTGAAAGCAAATGAGTATGTGGACAGGTGTGTGTGTGTATGTTACTGTGCTTGTGTATGGTAGAGAATTCAACTACTACAATATGTGCTATATGGTTATTGATTTGACTGATGTGTTACATTTGTGTTAAAATGGCAGTGATAGTCCTATCCTTATGCTAAAGCCTCTGGTCAGATGCTCTTTTACAAGTATAGACCATGGTTTAGGTGCTACTCATGCTAATTTGAAGGCAGCAAGTGACATGAACTTCAACTTTTGGGAAACAATTACGGGCTTGAAACAAATATGCTTCTGTTTGTATTGAGCGTATGCTTCTTTATATATTTGCTGGTTTTTTGAAAAGCAGGAGAAAATAATATATGTAAGCCAATTTTATATAGATGAATGAATTTGCCACTTTGATGCTTTCTTCTTTTGAGAACCAATTGTTTAATCAGGCATTATATTGAATATTAGTGCTCAACATTTGAATCTAATTTTATACTTTACTTTTTAATGGTATAAGTTTGGGTGTCACTATTCTTGTATTATTTTTTTTTTTTGCAATATGATGGAAAATGAGTAAAACAATTTGTTTGGAACTTGTAGGTTCCAAACAAGGATAGTAGAACAAATAGCGACAATAGATGCTGGTTCTTGAAGTGATTGTAACACCCTAGATTTATGGTTTTTATAGACACACTTATTAGGTTGTTTTAATTTAACTCTTCATTTTAAGATCCTAGGTTCTGATATGTTTACAACTACTCTTGGTTTTAAACAAAAGATTTTAGACTCTTTGTTAGATTTTACTATTTCTTGGAGTTATATATATATATATATATATATATATATATATATATACACACACACACACACACATATATATATATATATATATTAGAGGTTGGACTATTAAAATGGCCAGTTATGATTGTTAGAAGATTCTTTATGCATTTATATGGTCATGGGTTTTGCTTTGGTTTGTTGTGCCTCTGATTATGAGTTTGGCTATGATTTTATGTAAGGTGGCAGGGGAAGAATAAAGGTTTTTGGTAAGTTGATTTGGTAGGTTGTTAGGCTATTGCTTAGGGTTCTTGACAAATGACAATGGTCTAGTAGTGGACACACTTTTTTATTCCTAACACTATTATTTGATCAAGGAGTTGTCTTTGTTAGTAAGGTTAATGGCTTTGCTTGAGCTTCTACTTTGTATTTGAGATTGTGAGGGTTGAATTTCAGGCCATACCAGCAGGGAACTTGTTCAGCTTTTGGCTAATGGGAGATCATTGGTCATATGACTTCCCAATTTTGATTTTGGGATTGATTTGCTAATTGAAGCTATGGTTCTTGATGTGGGACATTGTCTATGCTCTATGGTCTTCACTACTAGAGTGCTTTTCCACTGACTTATGCTTAAAATTTTGGTTTATGATTGTGATGATTAATGTTACAGGTTTGGCATAGGACGCACACATATACTACTGGTGCTGACTGCTGAGTGTAAAAGTCACTAATGATGGTCTTTGAAGTGTCTGAATATGTTTTGGTGATGACGAAGGAGGTAAGTTAGTTCTATTAACACTGCAGAGTGCAGAATTTATGGATGGTGCTGAATTTGAATGTTGAATTCGTGGCTTTGGCTTTGTTTTTTACTCTCTTTTGGGTTTGTATTGGTCTTAGTTGGAGTGCAAGTCATCAGATCAGCCCGAAGGGAGGATGCGTTCATACAAGAAGTCCAAATACACTCTTGTGAAAGACAAACTTATACCTTGGCGGTGACTTTGCCTTTGAATCCAGAGACTAACTCTGAAGGTTGATAACATTAGAGATAATGAATCTAATAAGGTATCGCTTTTAGACAAGATAGTATGTATCCAAATAACTCCTTGGAGGGATACAAAAGCTTACAAAAAAAATTCTTCTAATTTGAGTAAATAAATCATTGCTTTTTTATATCAAAATAAATTTCTTCCACATCTTTATAGGATGAAGATGGTAGTTGCTTAAGCAAAGGATTACATGTAATGATAAGCAAGATTTTTTACTTTTTTGGGTCACCACAAATGTATGCCCAGTTGACAGTTGACACTTAATACTATAACTAAATGGGCATGTTTTCATCACATTACTAGACATTATTTTAATTCAAACAAACCTAGCTAAAATCATTTAGGTTGTTCCACATCAAAAAAAGAACTATCAAACCCCTAACAAAACAAACAAAAAATATAAACTATAGGGGACTCTTTATTTTCTAGTTAGACTGAAAGCAAATGAGTATGTGGACAGGTGTGTGTGTGTGTTTGTTTCTGTGCTTGTTCATGGTAGAGAATTCAATTAGTACAATATGTGCTATATGTTTATTGATTTGACTGATGTGTTATGTTTGTGTTAAAATGGCAGTGATGGTCCTATCCTTTTGCTAAAGGCTCTGGTCAGATGCTCTTTTACAAGTATGGGCCATGGTTTAGGTGCTACTCATGCTAATTTGAAGGCAGCAAGTGACATGAACTTAAGCTTTTGGCAGTAGATCCTAGAAGAGTGACATTCTGCATATGATTTCAACACATGCAGATGGGGCCTGATCTTTTGCTATCTAAGAGATGCTTTTTCAAGCTAGATTATGTTGATCCTTGTGAGGCTTATCATGCTGTGTGGTTTTAAGCTAGATTTCTGTATATATTTGTCAATTTCAATAAAACAACCCATGTTACCGTTTCATTATAATTGTGTGGGATTTTTTTCATAAATACAGACCATTAAATATATTAGCCACATTTATGTAGAGATAAGAGAGAGAGATATATATACCTTACACGACCCACTTTGCTCATATACCTCAAGAGATGCTTGAGGTCATCTGGAACGAGCCCTAGTTTAGACCCACATAGATGATGCCTGAGGTCTATAAAGGATCGTAGGAGGTTGTCACACTGCGAATCAGTGGCATTGACTATTAGAATCTCGTCATTCTCCTTCCAGTCAACTCTCATATCATTGACCTCAACATCATCCAATCGGATAACTTCTCTTATATTCGCCTGAACCACCTCATTCTCAATGGCAGCAACTAACCCCCTCATCACATGAACTCCTTCTCGAGTTAATTTAGCACATTTTTTTTGTCCGATACTCACTATGCAAACCATCTTTGCTCCTTTTAAAGCCAAATAATCTTCAATAGAAAGCATATCCTGAGATATTAGAGAAAATTACATAAATAAGACTAAAAGAGATGTGTTTTTTTATCTAGGACTACTCTTATTCGTTCAAGGTTTTAATGGTGGAAAAGACTGCTTTAGCCTTTTTATTTTTTGTGAATGTAGTTGAATTGTATCGGTCCTCTCCACCTAATTTGCATACACTAATCGTGAGACAAGATGAAAAAAATTATTACTTCTGTACAAATTGCTGTTTAATGGCAGATCTACCAAATCGTTAAGTGAGAATTGTGACCGCAATGTACAGCGGACAAAATGGGCTATTTTGTTGTTATCCAAACTCAGTGTTGCTTTTTTTTTGTTTTCTAATTATTGTAGATGCTGGTTTTTCGAATTTTAATTAAAAGACTTGAACTTAATCTAAATACATAGAATTGTACTCCGTTAATGACTTCTTCTTTCAGGAACTGAATTTGCATACTCTAGTCATTATGTTATAAATGTATTTATATATTGCCTTTGTATATGGTATAAAATTCATATAAGGACTTCCATCGTAAATTCTATATTTTGTGGGCATTGAAACTAAAGATGGGTCCTAAGGTCTTGATGTGCTACAACATCCAAATGTGTTTATTTTATGTCATTGTATCCTTAAACCTGATTTGGAACCAATGAACCATGGACGAAAAATTAGTGTTTTGCTGCAATAGATAGTCATTAAACATAAGGACATTACACATACGGACTAAAAATTAGTGTTTTGCTGTAGTCATTAAACATAAGGACATTACACATACAGATAAGTTATCATATTGACTCTATATGTTAAGGACATTAGGTGCTTATTCTCAAAGAATACAATAACCAGTATAGTCTAGTCATTAAGTCTATAAAAACAATTTTTGAGGACATTAAACGCTGAATGATGTCTTCATTTGACCTTATGTTTAGGACAATGTATTTTTATCCACAAAGAACATGACGGACAACTTGATTTAGTCCTTATGCTTGTTTTAATCTATAATTAAATTAAATATATATCGTATATGAATAAGATGAAATAAAACTCTAAATATATTTTATAAGTTAAATCTAATAAAATTATTTTTGTATCAATATTTGATACTCTCTTTGTCCAATAATTTCTTTTTCACTTTTCTTTTTGGTTTGTCCAAAATTTTTTCTCGTTTCTTAGCTTATTCTGGCAAAAAACTTTTAATGAATGTGTTATTATACTCCTACTTTTTATCTACACTATTTATTTTATTCCATGACAGCAAGGACAACACAGTAATTATTTACACTTTTTAACTTTTTTTAATCTTTGTGTCAAGTCAAACTGAAAAGGAAATTTTTGGACGTGGAGAGTATCACTTTTATTTAATCTATGGTCAAAATTTACCAATTTTGGCAAAAAGAGTCAAAAATAAAAAAATATTAAAGGACAAAGGGAATAACGAATATTTAAAAGTTTATTCCGAAAATGTACAATTATCGCCCTACTAATAATAAACCTATGTACTCCCTCCGTCCCCAATTTGATTACAAATTGCATGTTACGGAGTAAAATTTCTACTTTTTAAAATTGTTTTTTTTGCAAATTGGTATATTAATAAGATATAAAAATTACATATTAAAAAACTACGTCAAAAGTTCTACAAAACAAAAGGTGACAAGAATATTTTATTTCATCAAATACTTGATGAAATGGCATAAACAAACAAAACTTATCGAGATGAGAGAAAAAAAGATTGTAATCTATTCAGGTATGGAGGGAGTATAACTTACTGCTAAAGACATTATGTTTTGAAAAATAATAATAAACCGTAACTAAATAAATGATGTTTCAAGCAAATGAAATTACAAAGAGCGAGAATTGTGCTGCAGAATATGCGTGTGGAAGAAGAGTCTAACAATTTGAAACTGTTATTTCCTTAAAAATGGGAATTGATAAATGCACTCCAAAAATGTTAGTTGCACTCCACATGTTTTTTTATTGACAAAAAAACCCTTTAAAATCTTTCATATCTTTTTAATATCAAATAACCATCAAAATAAAAATAGTAGTAACTTTAAATCCTCAAAAAACATTGATGGAGAAGTATACTCCGTATGTCATTGTTAACTTAAAATGAACCCCTCAATCGACAAGTACTCGTAACATACCAATTCAATCTGAAATTTATTTTCTAAAACTGAAATTTATTTTTTAAATATGAAATTTATTCTTAAAATTATTTCTAATCCTTTATATATAAAAAGGAGACTCCATTCTTTAAGAAGTTGACATTTGGCATATTCAAAGCATGACATGTGGCGCATTAGGAACTTGACATGTGGCATATTAGGTGGCAATTTAACCAAATTTACTCTCTTTCATTATTTCACATTTTTTTACTCTTTTTTCAAAAATGATATGGAGTAATTACTTATTTTGAACCCATGAATTCAAAATTAGAATTAAAATTATTTTCCGTGTAAAATATTACTTTTAATAAAATATCATTTTTTAAGGACTCTACGTACAGATATTTTTAAAACCTGTCTCAGATTCGTTAAATCATAAAATTTAGAAAATATTTTTAGAATAATTAATAAAATACACTCCCCACCCATAAATAAATTTTATATTTATTCATTATACATTACATGATATTCCTTTGATTGTATTTATTTAAATATTGACACCAATTAAATAAAATATTTCTTTTACCTATAAATAAATTTTATATTTTATGACACTTAATGTGTCACTTAATTTAGTGTATAGAAAATGCGAATTCAATGTTTTGGACTAAAATCTTTGAATAAATTTAATTGTTAAAGAGAAACATTCATTTTTATGAAAATACTTTTTCCAATACAATACAACATTTTTTACTCGCTTCATTTATAAAAACAATTTGATTAACAAACAAAACATTCTCTTCATAAATAAATAATATACGAAGTATTATGAATTTGTTTATGATACCTTCAAATGAAGTTATTTGATTATATTTATTTAAATATTGACACCTACTAAATAAATACTTTCTTCACCTATTATGAAATTTCTTATTTTTTAACACATAATATACCACCTAAATTGATACATAGAAAACATAAAATCAACATTTTCGTAAAATGTGATCCTAAGGTCCACATGTGAAATGTGAACCTTTTTACACTTTTCATGGTTTAGCAAGTAAATATTTTTAAAAAAAAGATCCAATTCTTTTATGCTATTATTACGCCAAGGTCTATAAGATAATCATGGACCGTAGGACTGCATAAAAATTTTCCTTATAATAAAACTTTCAATCCCCACACCAAAAAAATTTTCAATTTATAAATAAGATACATTTTATACCTCTTAATCAATGTCATGCGGGTATTTGTTTATGATATGTTATAACTAAGTTACTTTTGATTCTATTTATTGCAATATTGATGTAAAATCAAAACATATAAAATATTTTAAAAATAACACTAAATTATTTATAAAACAAGCGATGACTAGACTATAATTGTGTTAAAATAAAAAAATACTATATGTAATTTCATAGTTCCAAAATATTGATTGTTAGGGTTTGATTTTAGTACTATACAATTTAAATTCAAAAATACATTATTTCTCATGATATATTATGATATGATATTCTTAATTAAATCAACAACAACAACCCAGTTAAATCCCACAAGAGTAGGGTCTGGGGAGGGTGTGTGTACGCAGACCTTGCTCCTACTCGAAAGTAGAGAGGCTGTTTCTTAATTAAATCATATAATACAATTTTTCAACATTACTGAGTAAATATAATTCAGGAATAGATAAAATTGATTTTATTAGAAAAAACAAGTATTTTTCCAATTTTTTATTTTTTTAATTTCATTTATAATTAAACTATCAATGAATAAATTAGATTCCCTTCTTTAAAAAAAGATACTTTCTTAATCTCTAATGCAAACAGTTAATCACACTAACTCTGATGCAAACGGCTAAACTTTAACGTTGTTCCCATAAATAAATTCATATTTATTTATGACATGTTTAAATAAAGTTAGTTTGTATTTTATTTATTTTTCAATATTAATGCAAAATAAAATATAAAAAACATTTTAATCTCAAATTAATACTAGACTAGACTATTGTTTTAAATGATCAAATTAATACTACACCCAACTTATAGAAATTTTTTGTTTTGACTTTTTTGGTCAAACAGTGACATTCTCTGACCACAAAATAAACTTAATTTGAATAAATAAATATTATAAAAAATTGATATATCAAAACTATATCCTAAGATGAACCCAAGTATATTGAATACACTCAAGATTCTTAATCCTTCTAGAGAAGACAATTTCTAATAGTCTTATACTTTGGAATGACTATCAATAAAAGTCAAGATTGAACATTGTCATTTGTTGGATTATTTTTAACAAATTCGTTCTTCATTGATGGTTAGCTCTATTTTGTTGTTTCAAGAGTCAAGACAAAGACATGATTAAAAATATTGGTTCAAATGACAATTGAAACCATTCCAACCATACCCAAATTATTGTATACCCTAACATTTATCAGGAGATTTCGTATTAAAAAACTTTGTTGAGTACTCATTCAATTTTTCAAATATTATTTATTCTACTTTGACATTTTTGTCTATAGTATGAAAAATCATGTCAGAATTATATATTCTTCTTTTGAAAAAATATTACATTGAAAAACTTTCAAAATCGACAAAAATTTCATTCAACCCCGTGCGTCGCACGTAGGGTTGTAAACGAACCGAATCGAATCGAATATTCATGAAAAATATTCATATTCGTTAAGATGGAGTGATATTCGAATTCGAATTCGAATTCGGTTCGAATATTTTTTAAGATTCGTATTCGGTTCGTTTAACATATTAAACATATTCGATTCGTTTAAATATTCGATTCGTTTAAATATATTCGGTTCGTTTAAAATTATTCAGTTCATTTAGATTTAAAAATATTTATAACCATTTGATATATATATATATATATATATATATATATATATATATATAAAATTTATATAATTTATATAAAATTTATATAATTTATATAATTAGATTTATATTCCGAATATATTTGTCAAACTCACGAATCGAATACCCTTGATTCATATTCGTATTCGATAAGGATTCGAATATTTATTCAGATTCGTATTCGTATTCGAATTCGAAAAAATCGAATACGAATCACCTTAAACGAATACGAATCACGAATCGAACACAAAATATTCGATTCATTTACGTCCCTAGTCGCACTCTCGCACTCGCACGGGTTAGAATACTAGTAGTTTAAAAAATGCTGATATATTTTTTCTGTTTTTCTGTTTTATTTTTCTTTAATTGTTTTGAACTATTTAATTATTTTAAATCCAAACCTTTGATTGTACTCTAATTAAATATGGAGCATATAATTAAGTGTATTGTATTGAAATTATTTATAGAAAATAAAATAGAAAAATTCAAAGATATACATCTAAAATCTAAAACACAAAAGAGATAAAAGTCATGAATGTGATGATTTTCAATAACAAGAATTTTTTCTGGATCTTAGATCTATTTCTCTGATTTTTTTTTTCTACTTTTATACGGAGCACATGATTTAAAAAAAATCACAGTTTCATATGGAGCATCTAACTGGAGTATATTACAAATATTTGGCATTTAAAATATTGAGAATAGTAAAAAAAATTACATAAAATAAAAAGAAAACAAAAATATCATAAAAAATAGATAAAAAATACTTTGTATAAAAAAATATTTAAATTTTTTTTAATAAAACAATTTCAAAATAAATGAGAAAAGAAATCAGGATTTAAAAAATTAAATTTTTTATACACGCTTAGTCCATTAAAAAAAACCTTATTGAGGTTAATGTTGAGTTTTAAAAATGATATATTTAGAGGTGCGACCCTATAGAAAAGATCTTATCTAAGTAAGGTCACTTTACAAATGACATATTTTCCTCAATCAATGTATTTTTCTTTAAAGGCAATTTGACATTAAAATGAAATGAAGAATTTTAAAGGACACTTTTGTCAATTCTTAGCCATAAAAGAAACATGTGGAGTGCAACTAACATTTTTGGAGTGTATTTATCAATTGCCCTTAAAAATAGGAATAATTAATGATAAACAAAATCCAAAAAAATCCAAAAAAAAAAAAAAATGGAAGAACAAATTATATACACGAAAAGGGCTGATAAACAAAATCCAAAAAAAAATCCAAAAAAAAAACGGAAGAACAAATTATATACACGAAAAGGGCAGAGATGGAAGGTTTAATTAAAATATGTCCTATACAAAGAAAAAAACCTAACTACTCCTCTTTAGAGAAAACCAATATGTTTTAGTCTTACTTTAAACAAATTTTACAAATAATTTGATTACCTGATCGATGGGTTTTGGAGCTGAGAGAGTAGAAGCATTGAAGCATCCATAATACAAGCTCGTCCTTTCCCTTTCAATCCTAAGCTTTTCTTGTTCCTCTGGAGATGGGTGTGGCTGGTTTATTATTGCACTATAGCTCTTCCTAAGACCTGATGATGATGATGATGATGATGAACCAACATCCTGCCCTGACATTGTGGCTTCAAGATCAAATTTTACCGCTTTCTCTTGGGATGGTCTCAAAACACGCACTAAGCAAGCAAACCCTTCCCTTTTTTTACTTTTTGGCAATGTTTATTTTCTCCTTCTCCTCCTCATACGTCCTCCCTTTCTGAGAAAGCCTGCGAACTAGCAGGTGAGTGAGGTGACTGGGCTGGCACTGGCGCATTTTTACCATTTTTGTGTTATTAGAGATCTGCATATCAAGCTGCAGCCTTCCAATTGCTACTAAAAATGGGGATAGGGTCCATTTGGTATACGGAATTGACGGAATTGGAATTGAATTGAATTGAATTTCCATGAGATTCAATTCCATAGAATTCAATTCTGCCAATTCCAATTTATTTTTTGCACTATCAATTCCAAATCCATATAATTTTTGTGCTACCAAACACTAGAATCGGAATTGAAGTCCTCAATTCCAATTTCACAGTTTGAATTCCATGTACCAAACGGGGTCATAGTGTAAATTAACCAGGAGGAAAGAGCTGGTTAGTCACTTATTACTCTACTCCGTAATACCGGAGTAAATACAAAACCATGGGCCCAACCACCTGTCTTTAATACCCTCTCCACTTCCCAAAATATACCGAGTAACATTTTATGCAGTACTTTTATTTTTTATTTTTGAAGTAAAAAATATGAAATTTTATTTTGATACTTTTTTCATTTTTACTTTTAATTTAATCATTTTTTCTTCTTTTAAAATAAAGGATGTACTCTTATAGATATGATAATCAGGTCATATATTTTTATTTCTCAATGTAGTACAACTGTTTACTATTTACTGGTCATAATTTAAGTAAATATGCAACATAACTGGACATTGTTCCGTCAACTAAACATTATTAAAATACTATTTAGAAAATAAAAAAGTTTAAGTACTACTCCGTATATTGAAAAATTATATACTTCCTCCGTCTCCAATTTGATTATAATTTTTTTCTCTTTCTTCTCGATAACTTTTGTTTGTATACGTAATTTCATTAAGTATTTGATAAAATAAAATATACTTGTCAACTCTTGTTTTGTAGAACTTTTTGAAGTAATTTTTTATTATGTAATTTTTTGTTTTATTAATATATTAAATTATAAATAAAATGATTTCAAAAAGTAATATTATGGTATATTTATTCTCGTAAACTTGAATTTTTAATCGAATTAGAGACAAAGAAAGTACTTCCTCCGTCCCATAAAACATTTCCTGTTTCAAAAAAGGCGCATTCTTAAAATGAGTAATTTTGGTATAATTTCTAATTTTGCCCTTACTTCTTAAAAGAGTAGGATGAGATGTGTAGAATAGATTAGCAATAATTAAAAAATAACACTAAAATTACTCATTTTAAAAGCGTGCGATTTTTGAAAAAGAAAATGTTTTATGGAACGGAGGGAGTATATTTTTCTACGGAGTTCCAGTACTCGGTACCATAGTTTTAAAAACCGGACCGGACAGGCCGGTTCGGACCGTGAACCGGCAAACCGATGGTCCAACCAGTCCGGTCCGGCCCATTAGACCGTAACAAGCTACGAACCGGTCCGAACCGGCCGGTCGGACCGGTCCGACCAGTTTTTTTTTTTTTTTTTGCAGTCTTTTTCCAAAACTTCACTCTATGGGGGTTTGAAACCAAGACCTCTTAGATATCTAATTGAGTTCCTAACCATCCAACTAACGGTACCTGTTGTTACAAATTCGTACTATATTTTATAATATTTCATAATTAATTAAAAAATTTCATACAAATAACTTTACAATTTTAAAAATATAATACGTAGTATTATATAGATATGAGTCGAGCACAAAATCATTGATATTTTTTTAAATAAAATTTTAATACCGAGTATCTTTTTTTAATATGTAAATTTTATCATTTAATTGAGTAAAATAACTCAAGTATATTAATATAATTTTAGTCAAATATTATAAATTACTTTCTTTATGTATTTATATATGAGAATGTGTGTGTGTGTGTATATATATATATATATACACACACACACACACAGACACACACACACACACATTTATATATATATAATTTTTAAATATGTTTAAACCACCGGTTCGACCAGTTGAACCATTGGTCCGACCAGTAAACCAGTGAACCAGTACCTTGACCGGTTCGGTCACCGGTCCGGTTCTCAAAATTATGCTCGGTACTACTCCGTATTTAATTCAAAATCCAAGTAAAAATAAGAGCACTGGGTATACTCCTCACGCCCACCGGCGTTACGGGGCGTTTAACGCCCCGGGGGCGTGAAACACCGCCCCCCGCCGGCGTGAAACGGGCGTGAGGAGCGTTGCGTTAATGGTTTGACGCGGCGTGATGGCCGAATTTTTTGGCCGTTCCCCTCCCCAACGGCTATAATGCCGTTACCCCCTCCCCAATTAAAAAAAAATTAAATTTTTAAAAAAAAACCTATAAAATCCCTCCTTCTCATACATCTTCCTCACACCTCTCTCATCTCTCTTTATTACTATATATTCTCTCTAAAAAATTTATTATTTATTATAAATATTTATAAAATATAATTTAAAAATGGGTTCATCTTCCGACGATGAAAGAAGAGCTTTATTTTTNTAATTCTTTATATGCTCCGGTATAAAAATCAGGCTTCATTCCTTGTGAAGACATCTTCAAATGTTGTTTGTATCCATACCTTTAAACCATATTTGCTGTCTTTAAGGTTAAATTACGTTTGCTGTTCTAAAATGTGCATTTTTTTTGGGGGGTGGGGGGTGGGGGGTGTGAATTATGTTTGCCGTTTATAAGGTCCAGGCTTATGTGTGTGATAAGACTCCTGAAAATTGGGAAAATTATATTTCTGGATGTGTTTAAAAGGGATGCCATGTATTGCAACATCACTGCCACATCAGCTTCTTCCACTCATATATGGCATGGCAAGGCTAAAATCATAGTTTTCAGAACCGGACCGGTGACCGAACCGGTCTCGGTACTAGTTCACTGGTTTACTGGTTGAACCAGTAGTTCAACTGGTCGAACCGGTGGTTTAAACATTTTTAAAATTATACACACACACACACACACACACACACATATATATACACATACATACATACATATATATATACATACATACATACATACATACATACATACATACATACATACATACATACATACATACATACATACATACATACATACATACATACATACATATATATATATTGGTTATGCAAACTTAGGAGAGAAATGAGAATGAATCTTGTGGTTTAGATTGTGAGATCTAAGGGTCAAGATTTCATCAAAATGAGATGCACCAAAATGGTGCGAAAATGCATCACGTCGAAATGCACCATAAACCTTTGAAAATGCACTATCTCAAAATCTGAGCGCAGAATGCAATCTGAGCCACACAATGCATCAGATCCGACGGCTAGAATTTATTCTCATTTCTCTCCACAAGGTGCATTCTCACGGGAACCAGCCCATATATATATATATACTCCGTATGTATGTATGTATATATACACACACACACACACACACTCTCTCTCTCTCTCTCTCTCTCTCTCTCTCCCTCTCTCTTATTTATAAATACTTAGAGTAAATAATGTATAACATTTGACCACATCTATAATAATTTACTTCAGTTATGTTACTAAATTTAACAATAAAACTTACATATTTAAAAAATAATATTAAACATTTTATAAACAAAGAGTTGATTTTATTTTTTTCAAATAAATTATCTAATATAAAAATACTGAAATGAAATCTTTGCGTAATATTTGTAATTTTATCAAATTATATCTTTTAAAGTTCTTAAAATGAAAAGAAATCTCTAAACATTTTTTAATAATGTAATATTAAAAATTATTAAAGTGAACTTATGAGTTATGACACAAGTATATCTTAGCTGAGATGGTTAGAGAATTAACTTTGGTAGCAAGAGGTCTTGAGTTCGAACCCCTGTGTGGTGAGTTTTTTGGGCGAAAAATTGCAAAAAAAAAAAAAACTGGTCTAGTCAACAACTACATTCATTATTGTTGTTTTGTTAGTTCAATTGACATCAGAATACGTCAGTGGACATAGAGTTTTATGTTAAATTGCACTTTGACCCTCATATTAACACTAATAAGCCAGAACATAAAAAAAAATATTTATGAAAAGGTATTTATAAAAGAAAGACCACATGCATAATATTCGAAAATAGAAAACTCCATATTATAAAGAATCAATTGTAAAATTTAGTATAAGTTAAATGTAGTATATCTCATATGTGATATACGGAGTGTTTCTTTCTTGTTTGAAAACAACGTGGGTGTTTCTCTTATAAGCTATTTTTAACTTATAAATTTACAGATGATGTGTTTATGTGCTTATAAGCCAAAAAAAATGGTATTTCGTTTCTCCGTTTTGACCTGATTACTTACAAAACTTTCCCCCACCCATTATGACTTATATATCATTTAAGAAATATTATCTACACAAAAGAATTTTTTATTTATAAACAATTTATAAATTAAAAACTACTCCATCTTCCCATTTTAAATTGCCTGTTTGCCTTTTTTCTTCGTCCCAAATTAAGTTGCATGTTAGTTGTTTTCGTAAACTTTTAAAAATAAAATACCTAAACTACTCCTAAACTAAGTCACTTTTCTTCATTTTATCTTCTCATTCATCGTCACTTCTCTTAAAAAGTAATGACAATTTCAAAAAATTAACTCTATTTTTTATTTTTCTTAAATATGCCCAAAAGTCAAAACAGACGATTTAAATTGGGACGGAGGGAGTAGTAATAAACAATAAGTCAATAGGCACCTACATAGAGAAACACCTTGTTATTTCAATTAGGGTTAGTGTTTTAAAAAAGAATTTAACTATATATATCATTTTTAAAATGCAAAAACTTAATGCTATT